TGGTACCTGTCATGGAGATAATTATTTTTGTAGCTAAAGGGAGGGAAAACAGGAAAGGGAAATGGAGCATCTCACGCTTCAGGTAAAAGTGATTTTTCAAATAGGAAAATAATTAAGCTGAACTTCTATTTACATGATTGAAACTGATTATATTTGGGCAGCTGATCGGAACAAAGTTCTCAGAGCTAAGAAATGATTTTGCAAGTAACAGGGCAGAAGGGAAGGATAATATAATTGTATCAATGACAGCAGATGCAGTAGTTTTCCCCTCAAGTTATTTGTGACTAAAGTTGTCATATGCATGTGCAAAATATTAATGATCTATTAGAACAGTAGCCATGTGTATACATTACATAAATATGGCCATATAATATTTTCTATGTACTTATCTTCTTCTGTATAAGAAAGTATCAAAGGGAAAATTTAGAGTTTTCTGCAAACTAGTTATATAAATTATATAACCATTGCAAGCAGGATGTACTTTTATATTAATGCCAATTTTTCAAATTATTTCAGGGGAAATTACTCAGGTTGGAAAATTTCAAGAATTAAATTAAAGAAAGTAAAAGAAAATTGAGAAAGTTACAGAAGATGTAATAGAGCTACTGTGGTAATAGCTATTGTGGTGATCACTTGTGAACACACTATATCCTTTTTGTGTGGAAATAATATTGCTGTGAGTTACAGCTCTGGTATTTCCTCTTCTGTTAGATATCAGGTTGTGTTTTTGTAATTTTGTTGAGAGTCACAGCAATGAATTGGTATCTCTGTAATCTCTTGCCTCAAGATGCAAGAGCAAAGTTGTAACAAACAGCGTACAAGTCACCTTCCAATTATAGCTAAATTAAATGTTAAGGTAGTATATGCAAACCTACCCTGAAAAAGAAAGCTTGTTTTGTACAAAGGTGTTTGTGTTCTTCTGGGTCTGTATTTCTAGAGTCATGGGGTTGGTGGAAGGGAGAATAACTGCCAAGCAAGAAACTCTTAGCTACTTGGCTCTTTGATTTGCAAATAAGACCAGGTATACATATTAACACTTAGTAAAACTGGAGCCTTACAACAACAACATGTATAGTTAGATTTCAACTTTTTCCCGGTCAGATGCAAACTTGTGCTGAAAACAAGTCCCTTTGTAGAGATCTGACAAAGCTGCCAAGCCCAGGGGCTGGCACTGACTGCAGGCCACACCACATGCTCAGAGATTGCTTGTGTACAAAGGAGGTAAAAATCAACATATTGATTTGAAGGCAAAAATCAACAGGAGTTTTGGAGGTAAAAATCAACGTATGTCCACCTCCATGCTGTTATGACAAATTCCAGCAGCCATGCTCAGGCTGAAAAGACATTTTACTAGCGTGGTGGTTTGTCCACTCAAAACACCAAGGCAGAAAACATTCTATAAATGGGAAGAAATACAGAGCATAAACTGGAAGCAATTTGGAAATTATATTTTTTCTCTCAAACCAAACATAACCCAACACTCTGAGATGAAAGCATAATTACTGAATAAAGATATGGTCAGGCAGCCAGACAAATGGAAAATGAATCCAACCGTGTTAAGCTTGATCCTGCCCTGCTTTGGGAAAAATTGCTTCTTAAATACATTTAATTGTGTAAATTTAACATTTCACCTCAAAGTATTATATTTGCTTCAATACAGACTTTGTGGTCTGAAGGGTTCTTCTAAACCAGTTGGCTGAAAATCAAGGACAGTGAGAGAAAAATAATATGAGAATTATTTCTGTGGGGTTTATTTGCACTGTTGTTCTCAGAAAAAAAATTAAACCAAATTCACTAGATTCTGATTCTTGAAATGGATCATTAAACCAAGGTAAGCTCTTGTATTGGCTCTTTGATTCAGAACTAAGATTTCAATGGTAAACTGTACTTTATTTTGAAAATAAAAATTACATCTCCTTTAATTTCAAATGTCAATACACAGAATTTTAAAACTCTGAAAGTTGATTCAGATAAATGTTTAATCATCCAGCATTGTCTGGAGGCTTATGAACATGGGAATCCTAATGTCCTCTAAAGTAGCATTTAAATTTTTGTTGAAGGAGAATATGCATTTTTCAGGGAGGAGTGAATTATCTCTACGAGTGGTCTACTTGTAGGAATTAGGAAGAGTTAGTGTACAGTAAGTTCCCAGTCTCACTCACTAATTTCACAGTAATTTCCTCTGTAGACATGCATCCTGGTCAGTAGAATTTATGCATTGTTAATCTTGCTGTGTACATATTGCAGCACTTTGGCTGCAAAGTGGATCAGAGCCCAAACAGTGAAGGATGGAGGTGTCTACATTAGGAGCAAAATGGTGCCGAGGGTCCAACATTTGTCTTTCAGGAGCTTTTTCTGCAGAGTAGCTGCAGTATGTTCCCAGGACTCAAAGCCCATTAGTGCCTGAAGCACATCTTTCAGTTTAGCTCCTGCAGAAAGACCCTGGTTGGGCAGTATTGAGCAACTCACACTAAGTGGAGAGAATCAAAAATAATCTGAACTTCAATGCTAGTGTAGATGTTCTGAAACAGGGCAGGGCTTCACAGGAGGGCTAGTCTGATGGCAGCCTGGTGTGCTGTGAGTCTGGGGTGACCAGTGTCCTAGGCACCTGCTAGAGAGTGGCTGTGGGACTCCCTGAGTTAGCAGAGAGGCTGGTATTTCTCATTTTATGGAAAAAAGAATGCAGAAAAGCAGTCATCAGATTCATGCTTATGGCAACATTTAGTCTGTCATGGCATTTGATGCAGAAGTAACACTGCACAGCATTCTGTAGTGAAGGCCACATTATAAAGACTGCATTGAGAACTAGCCCTGAAGCTTTTCTTGCCCCAGTCTGTTTGCCATGAGAAACAGTAAATTAAATAACATCTGAAACGCCAGACTCTTACATGTAATGAGCATGGAGTCTGCAGAATTCACTAAGCAAGAGGTCAGTGGGCTTAGTGAATTTGCCTGGTTCTTTTAAAATTATATTATTAATAATGTTTCCAGCTTCTTAGTGGGAGTGGAAGTTACTGCAGAGCTTTTGAAACAAATTTCAGGGGTCAGGAATGGATGTGCTATTTTTGGCTTCCACTTAACCACCCATCAGACAGGAATCGGATAAATGATTTGCTCATGTTGCCGTTAGTACCGTGTTGCTGCTATTCATGGCATCTTTTTCATAAAAAACCAACAGAGCTACCATTCTAGCAGCTTACAGCCTAGATTAGAGAAAATGGTGAGGCTTGCCAAAGTGCTTTTGCTCTGTAAAGAGCAAATTTCAGCAATTAAGCTTGAGAGAAAAACAGATGGCCACAGGTGGGTCTCAAGCAGCTATTCACAAACCTCAAATATCCACCTAAGCCACAGTCACATTCTGGGATTCAGGTGGCTTTTGAACAACCAGTGGGCTGTCTGTAAATTATTCACATGGATGCTAACCTATTCCTACCTATGAAAACAGCACATGAGAGAGGTGGGAGTGGCTGATGGAAAGAGGAGGTTAGGGAAGCAATATGGTCAGTGTCACCCATGAACTTTGTCCATTGTGGATTTTTTTAAAAAATGAGAGTTAGAATTTACAGATCACAGTGCAGATGCTGGCATCCAGAGGAGGGTGGTTTAGAGGGAAGGGAGGGAGGGAATGTGGTTACCCCATTAATTCCATCATAGCTCACATTAGCAGTGTACCTTTAAAAACAAATGATGCTGTTAAGGATGTAAAGGGAACTCTGGTACATGTTACATCAGTTGTAAAATTGAATTATTTCTAAATTATTCATTTTTTTTTAAATGCTACTGGCTGAGTTATAGCACAAAGCTGAACAAAGACTGCAGTGAAGAACATGAGTAATTTCAGCAATGGAACCTGCAGAATTATTTAAGCAGATTTGTGTGATAACTGGGGTTTTTCTCACATTGTTTAGTCTTGGTAAGAATAAGACCGGTGTCTTATCTACACTGCTTATCACATTTACTCCTTAATAGCAACGGAGTTACTGACCAAACAAACAAAAAATTGTCAGGAAAGTTGAATGATTGAATTACCACTAAATGACTGCCCAGAGTTGTCAGTGGTATTTTTGGCAACAAAGAAACCAAAACAAAACGATTTTCAGAATTCAGTGAGGTGATCCTTCAGAAGCACCGGTGGGGTATCCTGTATCAACAGGAGCTGTCACAAAAGAGCTGTTTGCCTTCTGCTCCTTCTTCATTGAGACGAAGGAACCTTCTCACTTCTACACTGGGGAAACAGTTTCAGGCCTGAAAGGCAAACCAGCAAGGAGGGGAAGGGAGGCAGATTTTCAAGGAGCAGCAGCCTCCTTGGGTGCCTTCAACTCGTTTTCTGAAGTGCAGCCAATTTGAGGAAAGTAGCTCAGGAAAAAGAAGATGCTGTGCTGCTTGGGAGCTGACAGGCTGCCCCTCCTCAACCAATTAATTACTGAAGCCAGAAGATAAGGCTGCTTCTTGGCAAAATGCTTTTTGTCATAGAATGGTCATGACAGAGATGAAAGTGCTTGGGAGTGCAAAATTGACTTACTTATCCATGCTATAACCTGCCTGCATTCACACAGGGCAGATCTAATGATGGTTCATGCTGGGGCTTTCACAAGATGAATCTCTCTAGGGAAAAAATTTCCACTGCCCTCTTTCAGATACTTTGGACACGCAGTTTTGTTAAACAGAACCCAGCAATCCTTTTCATATTGGTATTTTTGAGCATTTTTGTTTTAATGGAGAAGTGGCAGTTTATTTAGAGCCCAAGAGCATGCATGAAACATTCAAGTGAGTTCCAGCTGAGACAGCTCTGGGAACAGCATGGATGGAAAGAATTTGTATGGCTGAAGACTGTCACCTGTAGCAGGTCTTCTTTCCTGTCCTCAGCTGTCTTGTCTTCATTGAAACCAAGGTGACAGATTAAATGTCAGCAAAAACCTTTGCACTTTTTATTTTAATTAATGCCTCTTGAAGTGACTCAGCAGATGCATAAATTTCATAATTTGCTGTTAAATCCTATTTCACTATTTTAGCCTGATAGTGCCATTGGTTGTTTACAGCTCACATTGCAAAACATCCTTTCAAAGCCCAATGATAAATTAAAATTAATTAAACACCCGATAGACTGCCCAAAGCTCATGAAAATTGAGCATGAGTAGTACAATAATTTGACAGGCTCTCTACCTGTAAGAAAGTCCAGAAAAGGATGTCCTGGTTTACAAAGATTTAGACTGGGAAGTTTAAGCAAACTTCGCTGCCATGTTACACATGAAACTGGATGGTTGGAGCACTCAGGTCAGAGCCACAGAGAGAATCAGTCCTTGCTGGTAGGTGGTAGGTGCCATTGGGTTGGCATCCTGTTCCTGGTGATTTTGAGAGACTATTAATCTTGTTCCAGTGCAGAACAAAAAGACATCTAAGGTGCTGGAAACTTTTCCTGTGCTGCTAGGGAAGTTGGTGCAAGTGAGGCAAGGACAATGTTTTTCTTTCTACATCCATCCTCCAAACATTTGTAATTTCTCTGACTACTCATTGTGTGCATTCTTTATTTTCTCAAAGCAGTACTACTCAGATCCCCTTATCTTATTCTCCAAGGGGGTTCTAAACTGTAAGCAAGCAGGCTGTAGATCAATTAGCTCCATCTACTTCTTTTTCTTTTTATATTTATTTCTTTTATTTTTATTTCTTTTTATATTTAATAGCAAACAGTTACATTTCCATCTCTTGGTGCCCACTGACTTTGAAGCTGAGATACTGGGAAAACAAGGCAGTTAAGTCTTGGTATGAGAAAGAGCTACCCCAGTGCAGCACAGAAAAAAAGACATCCTTTGCTCTTCAAATGCCACACTAAGTCCTTCAGCTGCAGGGGAGTTGGAGTGGCTCAGGAATTTACTGTGATAATATGAAGTTCAGACTTTATTCCTGGAAAGGGCTGAAGTAGCTACAATAGCTGGTTTTCAGTTAGCCATCAGGTGACAGCCCTAACACAGTTGTCTTGCAGAGTTACAATTTTTCCTCCTACCCATCTTCCCTAGGCTTATTCCAAAAACTTAATGAAAATTTCTGCATAAGAGAAATATGTTGACGTTTCCCCCCAGCATTTATGATATTACCAAAGATACTATTCCTTGTTTAGTTTTCTATTTTTAAGATAAATACTGTGCTCTTTATAACCCCATTGATGCCAACAGGTTTTTCTCACCTTACATCTAGGAATGATACCAATTTTCTGTGTGTTTCTCATTGTGCCATTCTGCCTAGGACATAATTGTGAGAGGAAAAAAGATCTCCCACAGCTGAGGGAGAGAGTCCAAGCCATCTGACTGGGAATTCATGCCACTGTCAGTCCATCAGCTGTTTATCTTTTCACTGACCCAAAGCCCTAGGAGATACCACCTTGTTGAATCTATCATATACATCGTGTACCAGAGCCCCATTGCTGGGCAGACCTGATCTTGTGCTGCTATAGCATCTAGCAACTAACTTGTCAGTGGGGATAAAAAAGCTTTCAGAGGGGACAGGAATTTAAAAAATGCAGCACAGTAAAGGTCAAGATTCTTGTATGTTCTGCACATATAAAGCAACATTCATCCAAATCCTTTTTTCCATCCTATTACTTAGTTCAATTTATAATGATGAAGCAATTGGTCTGGAGTGTGAATGTGTTAATATACGGGAAGTAAATTAACTCAGTAAATTGCTGACTAAACCAAACAAATTAAATTTTTTTATTTGGGAATAACATCCTCCCTATCCCTTATCAAACAAAAGATACCTGTATTTAAAGCTTGCACTTAGGGCACTCTCCCTAGTACTGCACTATTTGTGACACAAACACATTAAGTTTATTACAGCAGGGAAAATTATTTCTATCTGCAAGTATTTTGTAGTAGCTCATTTTTACATACCACTCATGGGTCATTAGCTCCCAAATAAGCAATATCTGCTCACATACATGGCATGTAGCCACCTTAAAAGGGACAGTGGAAGCACATGCTTAAAGAGGTCATCCTGGGAAATTCTTGCAGCCATGCAGCTCTGATTAACAGGTTTACAGAAACAGGAGCTGCAGGCAGACACTTGTCCATCACTTCTCAGGCTAGACTGTACAGATGGCATTTTCTCCAAACTCTTCCACTTTGTGTTACGAAGTGTTTGATATGGAAGTTCAACCTATTCTATTCCAGGCTCAACATACTCCAGAACCTGAAGAAAACTAGTCTCAGGGAGTGTTACAGCAACATTTGCAGCTTAACATTTCAGCACAGACCCTTGAAGGGATCTTCAGGCCTGCTCCTTGCCAGAAGAGTTTCAGTAAGGGCTGAGATCAGGATACAAGCTGATAGATTCCAAGTTGGGATTTAGACACCTAAACATATAGGTGTCTTATTTTCTTCATAATAAATGCTTTGCTTGTAGCATCACAGGACAATTTTGATCTAACAGGCACTGCCTCAAGCTCCAGTACAGGCTAAGCTGTATTAAGTCTATTGGATATGCCATAACGAGACAATAGCAAGTCACCAAAACATTGACTCAACTGGCTGAATATGAATCAGTGGTCTATCTCCATAGGCTAAAGGCAGGTAAGAAAATAATAAAGGTCAGAAAAATAAATGCCACTAAGTGGCCACTTGGCTTGACCCCTCAGCACAGTGTATCAAGGAGCTGGAGAGAGGTAGGGCCAACTGTGGCTGGGAGAGTGCAAGAGAACAGCTTCAGCCCAAGAAAAAGTAGTGTCGGTATATTCAAAGGTGCAGAAGCAAGAAAGGAATTTAGTAAGTACTGAGCCTTCAGTGAAGAAAGGAAGAACAGATTACTTAATCTATGGAAGTTGAAAACCTGACCATAGAATTGCACTTTTCTGTGGAAGATTGAATAATAGGGTATTAATTAAACAGGAATGTACAGTTACAGACAGAAAAATGTATTTTCTGAGAGAATTATTCAGAAGAAAGAATGAAATATCCTAAGAGCTGAATATTACAGAAAATCTTGAACTGAAAATGAAAAACTAGGATAAAGTTTTATTTCAAAACTGAAAGGCACCATCTTCCTCGTGGAACCTAAACCACTTCCAGTTTCAGTATGCATCATATATTACTCACATTACTGATCCACAGGTGGAGGAGACGTGAGGTGAGCCTGGTAAAGTCTGAAGGAGAGCCATCACAGAACTTGAAGCAGTGAAAAAAAAAAAGAGTTAAAAAGCCCCCAAAGATAAAATACATCCTCAATTAAATTATAACTCAGCTAATATGCACAAAGTCAAATGACTTCTGGCTCAGTTTCTCAGAGAAAATTAGATAGTTCTGCTCCAAGTGGAAGAAAAATGTACCCTTTTGCAAATGCATTTCTCTGTGTTATGCTTTTAAGTACCAGCTTTTAAACCATGTCTGAAGAGGCCTGGGAAAGCACATTAGCACTTCTCTACAAGCACTGTTTGAACTGGTTGGCTTGCAGAGAGGGGAATGAAAGATTTCCAGACTCAGTGCAGACAAAGCCCAAAAGCTGTTGGCATAAGTACAAAGCTAGAATAGTGCTTCAAGAAAACAGAAAAAAAATGCCTTTAAAAAAGAATTCACCAAAATGACATGAAACAGCAAACAGGAGACAGGGCCTTTGAGAGCAGTTTTTCACAATTAGCTCTCTGCTTTTTTGTGAATGTTAAAGATGTTCCACAACAGGAGTCAGAAACCTGCTGAAAGCCTGTTCCAAAAACCCTTCTGCATCCCCTGGCTCAGTTTTCAGCGTTGCAATTACCAGATTGCCAGGACAACTGATACAGCAAATTGACTGTTCACTTCCAAAGCTGCTTGCTGCTGGTCTTACAGAGTTAATGCAGGAGTTCTGGGAAGCAGCAGCATGCCTTGAGCAGCTTACAACATCCCTTGGGAGAATGAGAGACTTACCATCCATTTCTGTGTGTAGAGGGACACAGTGCAATGAAAAGTTATCAACTGCATTTAAAATGTCCCTCTTTTTGTGACCATCACTCTCCTTTCCCTGACTCCAGGTTAGCAGAGTACTTTCCCGTGTTCTGTGTTTTAAAGAGCAAGCTGAGGTTCTGCATGTGTTTCTGGCTTGGTGTTTTTAGCCCCTGGCAGTCACCTCTGTCTGACAGAGCCGTCCAGGTGAGCACTAGCCAGTGGTTGCACCCTGCACCCAGAAGGGGATTTCACATCTGAAAGGAGCTTGCCACAGAAGAGGTAAGAAAAGAAATGTCTGCCAATGTGGAAGAGGAGCAGGCCAGCTCCTGGAACACATTTTAGGGAATGTGTTTTCATTTCTTTTCTTTCTTCTAGCTTAAATATTTTACTATTTTCAAAAAGGAAAGCATATGAGCATTAAAAAAAATGTGTGCCAAGGAGTGCACTTGCATGTATAAGACAGCCTGCAGACAGGTGAGATGGCACCTCAGAGAAAGAAGGATACGGGTTTCCAATCAAATCAGTCACTATGCTGTGGGGAGCTGGAACTGAAGCTCAGCACAGGTTAGGCAGGTCTGTGTGCAGTGTGGCAGGTTTTCCATCTACTTCTTCAACTTACAGTGCAGCTCTGTTTACTGAACAATGTTTCAGCAGTCATGGGGTTTCAGCAGTCTGAACAACAAAATTCAGTAAACTGTCATTGTTCTCTCTGTGATTAATAGAGATTAATGTTGATGCATGTACCGGCATGTGACACCACTGTTTCTACAAGGAACCATTACTCATCAGCTCAACATGTGGGATTAATTGGCTTTGCTTATTACCAGGGAGAAACAAGCAAAAAGGTCAAGGTGCCCTAGCAAAATTATGCACCATCACTTAGTAATATCTCTTCAGTGGGAAATACTCACTGAATTGAGTGAGAACAATTGTTTTTTATTTTTTGTCAGACTGATCCACTTGGTCTGTGTAATTAAAGTCTAGAACAAATGTACAGAGGCTCCCACAGCCCCTTGCTACCTACGGACCACTCAAGTTGTGTACTGACAGTCATGTGCCACAGTAACATTTATTTTGGTCTCATTGTTTATTTTACATTAATTCAAAGCATTTCTGACACTGTGTTTTTTTCCTGTGAGTTTGATTTTGCAAAAACAAACATTTGGGAATATTAATGTTCTTTTAGGCCCTACAAAACTGCCCTCAGCACAACTATCTGTACAGACAGGAAATACTTAGCTGAGTATTCCTTTATGTACTTTGAATAATCTTTTTGCAGTGTTTTTCTGAGCAACTCTTAAATTCAATTTACAAGTTACAAAGGATATGAAATTAATGATGAATGGAGAATGGCTGTGATGCTGAATAGCTGTGTAGAAAAATCCTCCGTAATAAAGAATAAGAGGCAAAGGAAAGGTGTCATATCTGTGCACTGCTTCCACAAAATGCAGGTATAATCTCTTAAAAAAGCAAATAATAGTAATGTGAAATGTATGGGCTGTTTTAGTCTGTTTCTAATTGAACAGGAGCACCTCTTCCCCACCACACCTCCCCATTATGAAAAGAAATATTGATAAGGAATTGTTTTGCAAATGCTTAGAGATTTTGCAGTTCTTTGGTATCAGGATGGGAGGTGTGTCCTAGGGATCTGAAAGTATCCTACTTCTCCCACTGATTGGTGAGAATCAATGAAGCCCAATTCGTCTCTGGTAATATGGGCTAAGAAACCATATCACCGATGTAAACTTCAGAAATTTGGCAAGGCCAAAGGCTTTCTAGAAGGCTAAAGATCAGTAAAAATAGTTCAGGATTTTCAGATTTCCTGCTCTAGCCAGGAACACCAAGAGAGGAACAGGTGCTCTCTGTACAAGCGTGCAGTTCTTTGAAAGACTTGGGACTATTTCTGATAAAGTCTGGGATATTGTAAGCCAAGAGTGCCACAGGAGGAGATATACTAAAGCAATATGAGTACTGATTGCCCACCAGTTTGTAGCTTATATAAAGATTTATGGAGACACAGGGATAATTTGTTCCTCTTGAAACAGAAAAATGACCCTTTTTTTTCCAATTCTGGTACAATATGCTTACAGTGCATTCCAATTTTTTTTTCTTGTACATACGATTTATAAAAAGAAAAACTAGAGGGATTCAATAACTTTTTGAAAAGTTATTGGAAGAACTTATTCACATTTCAAAAAACAACCCTGATTTATGCTATAAAACCCAGTATTTTACCTTGCATGGAGGCGATTTCCATAGCAGATGGAATAGAATTTGGATGAATTTCCCTGCTGTCCTGGTTCTGGGCAGGACAGGTTTGATTTCTGCAGTAGCCAGGAGAGGGCTTGACTAGGACCTGGATATTATTCTGTACTACCTCACCTCATTTCCTGTATGGGGGAAGCATGGAGCCATTGAATTGGATTCTGTGGTGAGCATTTTGCATTTGAATCACTCTGTCTCTCACTTGTACACTTTTGTTATTAATATTGTTGCTGTTACTGTTCATTTGCTTCTCTCATTGCTGTTTCCAGTAAATTGTTCTCATCTCAAGTCATGATCTTTGCCTTTTGTGTCTCCAGTTCTCCACTCCAGTTGACACAGGGGAGGGTTGGAGGGAGAATGGGAAGTGAGCAAGGGCACAAGTAGAGCATGGTTTCACTGGGAGCACTAAAATCCTAAACCATGACAACTGTAAACACAAATAGTCATAGAAAGGTTTTGTGGAACTTCTGAAACTAGAAAAAGTAATTTTTATTTCCCGTATTTTGGTGTAGTTTTGTCACAGAAGGAAGACCATCTATTTTTCCTTTGAAAGGCAATGTCCTTTCAGAGCCACAAAATTTAACTTTAAAATAAAATAGTCAATAATGAAAAGTATAGAAATGCCATGCCTTTCTGAGTACCCCTTTTTGTCAAGATTAATAGGTAGAAGCAACATTACAAAACAAACAGCTCTGGGAAAACAACACATGTAATACAGATTATTCAGACAAAAAGACTGCGATGGTCATCTCATATGACCTCCTCCTACTGTTATATTTGGACTTATTTGTAGAATATTTTTATGAGAATGCCCACTGAATCTTCATCTCAACAATCATTTACTAGATTTAAGAGATGGTCACACATCTTTAGTAAATAAATTTAAATATTAGAAACAACTGGTGGAAATAACCACTTACATGTTGGCAGGGACACTAGCAGAGACATTTGTTAAGTAACATGCATCTGTTCTTTTATGCTTTTACTAATTATCTACAGTGGAGAATAAAGAATATATTAATTGAAGTCGCATATATATTAAATTGAGGAAAATTACTAATAAAAAGAAGACATGAAAAAATAGGATGGAACTCAGATAAAAAATACAGGGAGAAAGTGAGAAAATGAGATACTATTTATGGATTAAAATGCAAACAAAATGAAAAGCTATTCTAATTCACAAGGGGATAGAAAAATCTAAGATGTGCTATCAAATAAACCTGCAAAAAAACAACATGGAAAGAATCTTAGGGGGCTCTACTTTCAATGCAGGATAACGAGGTAAAATAGCCAGAGATATATATATATAATGATACTGGAATATATAGATGAAATCTTTTCACAGGCACACCTGGAATAGCTTCTTCACTTCTTGATGAGATGAAGATCTGATGAAAGAGAGAGAATTCGGATTAGCACAGCAAATGGATTCATCAAGGTCCAAAATTCGATTTATTAGAAAGAATGAAAAGACTTCAAAACATTTTAGATGATGAGTTAGATTAAGAGACTAGGGCAGCCTAGGAACAAAGCAGCAGTCTTGAAATGCATAAAATCTATAAATAATGTTGATAAAGAGATTTCACCAGCTAATCCAAAGCAAACATAAATGAATGGGTGAAACTAGGTAAAGAGGAGGTCAGACTATATGTCAACAGCCCCTTTCCTAACAGTACACCATTAACTTGCACAGTGATCTTGCAGGAGACATAATGAAAGAAACTCCACTTGGCCCATTGAAAACCTAAGAAAAAATGTGCAAGAGAGGACAGCCAGGAGTGAGCAGCTTCAGCTGCCCAGCTGGAAGTGACTGGTGTCCCCCTGCCCTTCCCCTGACCTTCACTTCTCACCAGAGGGATGTCACAAGGCAGTAGGGAGCCACTTGTATGCGTAGACCCTGGTTGTAGACCCTATGCCCCTGCCCTGTTCATGGCTGGAAAATTGCTTCTCACTCCCTGTAAGGCTCTTTTGGGCATGAATTACTTCCCATATCATTAGAAGTCAGTCTTTCCCTTCCTTGGTTCAAGTCTTTCCTGGACATGCAATGAGTCTGTGGCAGAAGAATGGTGCCGCTTGTTTCACAACTCCAGCTTTGTCAGTTCCAGGCTGGCCAGAAGATGCCCATGGGAGTTCTCTAGCCTGGCAAGTACAGGAGCATTGGTGAGAAAGAGTGTCACCTGGGAGTGAGAAGCCCTAACAGGGCAGCTGCAAACCTGAAACCTCTCCTTGGAAAGAAGTGCAGTTTTGTGTCATGTTTCACAAAACAGGTTAAGATTTGAATGGCAGATTTGAGGAGCAAGGAGTAACACTTGGCAACCTGGCAGTGCAGAAAAATCTTGTTAAATTTCTTGGCATTAATGTCCTGCTGAGATGTTAAACCACACAGCATCAAAAAGTGAGTGGCTGGGAGGTAATGCCTGCTCTGTCTACCTCTCAAATCTGGAGGATATTTTCCTCAAACTCAGTTTTCTCTCCAGGTTGATGTTTTCACACCAGCCCTGATTAGCACAGACGTCCCAATTTCATATACAAGATGCCTCAGCACACAGTCCCTGTTTCCCCAGACCAACTCTTCTGTAGTCCCTGTTTCCCCAGACCAACTCTTCTGGTAAGGATATCATGTTATTCATTAAACCTTTTATTAGCATGCTGCTGTCTAACATTTCATTGTCTAACAGCACCCACTGCGTTAATGGTCACAGAGTGTAATGTTGAATGTGCATGGTGGGAAATAACACACATAACACAGGCAGGAGGGAAATTGATCGGACAGTTTAATCTCCTGGTTTATTCCCCTGCTGCCACTGGGAAGTCAATATCATTGAGTGAATATGCTAAAGCATTATCTTATGAGAAAAGCTGTCTTTGGTGGGATTTAAAGAAGTGATGAGAAGTAAAGAGAACATTAAAAGTAAAACAATACTTACATAAAACTCTGTCAGACCACCACCCAGATTAGTCCCACCAGGTTTGCAAGTAGATACTGGTTTCAGTCTGCACATTCTTAACAGTAGAATCTAGTGCCTTCAAGCTTCATCTGCTGGATGAATTAAAATGAAATGACCTTTCAAAGTTTTCTCTAGATAAGCCTGAATCAGAATCCCAAACCCAAACACCCCCAAATGCTGGGGACATTTGGATCTTACAGACAGATTAGCTGGGTAGTTGGGGATAAGTTTAGATGTTTGTGGAGGAGGGAAATCTTCCAGTGCGTTACAGCCTGAACAATTTTAACATCTGCATGGAATAAGTGTGCATGTAAGGAGGGGAGCATGACTAACTGACACAGAAGAGGAGGAACAGGTGAATATGGGCAAGAGATAAAGGTTTCCAGGCAATGGGAAGAGGAGTTTTTGTGGGGCACTGTGCGTGCCCAAGAGCATCACTTCCGCAGTCCTGTTTTCTCTTCTTGGCTTTGTGCTACCAGGGAGAACATGGAAAGCTGGAAGCAAAACAATTAAAGGTGTGTCTCCTACAAAAGCCTGAGAGCTAAAAGCACAAAAGATTCAAGTGTGACAATCTTGGATCTGAGGAGTACAAGCAACAAGGTTTGTGAAAGCTGGCAAAGCTGACCCCTGAGAACTATTGCTCAAGTACTGGAAAGAAAATCTTCTTGGGCATCAGTTTGCTAGATGTTACTCCAGCAAAACATTATTCTAAAGAAAAGGCTAATGCTGTTGGTGTGGGCTCTACTATACTCCTCTAACTCAACTAAATCATCAAGAACTTTATTACAAGGCTATAACAAGCAGGAGAAGTGGGGAAATCTATTGTGTGACTTATAGCAAGTATGTTGTATGAACATTGCTACAGTGATCATGGCCTTTTTGTACTAAAGGACATGAATTCCACCTGCAGATGCACATATGCAGTTTTGTATGGAAAAGCAGGAGGACATGTGGTTTTTTGCCTTGTGGCACTTGCAGACAGCAATGCAAGCACGGGGCGTGCACCCCAAGGGCTGATGCCTGCAGCAGATGCTGATAGCTGAGGAGCAGCTGATTTTCCAAGGGAGCGTCCTGCATCACTGGGCAATGGGATTTGACTTGTTTCCATTTCTTCTATCTCTGATTTATTTGGAAATAGGATACCAGGTTGCTGCAGGCACAAAATCTGGTGGCTTTCAGAGGACTGAATTGTATGTTGGGCAGCACCACTCCCTTTCACCAAAACAATAGGAAGGACAAGGACCTCCTTTTAGTTCTGTTGTTTCTGGGTGCGGGAGTGGGAAGAAGTAACACAGTTGTATCCCTTTTTGTTTTCTACTCTGAGACAGCATGATGGGATGTGCTGCCACACATCAATATGGGAGTCAGGTGCTCTCCCAGCGTGGAGCAAGGACATCCTGGGTCTGCTGAAATTAGTAGGATGGCAGCCTTGGGCTTGTTGGGAATGCAAAAGTTGTGACAAGCCTGAAGGACTCATGCTAGGATCCCGGGCAGCTTCATCTTCCAAATAACCACTGCCCAAATATCCCAGAGAAACCCCTTCCCACAGCAGGAAGGGCACACACTGAGCACCTCTCCAACCTCTGCAGTCAGCTGAGAGGAGCTGAAATGGCAAAGGGAGCTCAGAGATGCTCATGAGGATGGTCTGCAGTCATGCTACTCAGTTGAGATTTTCATAATTCTAATTTATAATTGAAAACCTTTTCATTCTCTAACAAGCAGTGTGACAAGCATCTCTAATGAAGATGTGTGGTGAAAACCAAGAGAAGATGTTTAGCAAAGAAAAAGAAAGCTTTGCAGTGAACCATGAATCGTGTTTTGGGGATCCCTGGTGAGTGCACACTGCTTCAGGGACCTGACCAGGCACTCACAGGCCCTGCTGCAGCGTCCACAGGGCATTCCTCACTCCACACCCACATCTGTGAGACACAGAATCAAAACCCAGTCAGAAACCATGGCAGGACACAAGGTTTGCTGTGCTGGGTACAGCAGCAACACAGCTAAATGCCTGGAAAGACCCCAGGTGATGTTAGAACCAGGTGTGCCATAGAGCACCCCTGAAGCAGGGTCCATGTGGGGACAGCTGGGCAGGCTGGTCCCCACATGTCATAGCAGTGACAGACCCTGTGCCAGCGAACAAAACCCTTCCTGCAGCACAAAGCGAGAAGTGAGTCGGTTCATGACTCCTCTAGCACCTGGCAGAAGGAGGGAGCATGAAGCTCAGCAGGAACTCCTCCCCTGTGTAGGGATGCATGGAACATGGGTGAGGGAATGCACTTAGCAAGGAGGGGCTCCCACTCATGAAGGCTTTTCCTGTGGAAGACTCAAGTCCATGCCCAGGCTCACAGGCGTTGTGATTCTTTGTGAAAAAGTGGGTAGAGAAAACAGAATAAAATTCAAATCAATTATGTTGTTCAGTCTCTAAATTAATCCAATTATGCAGCAGCAATCTTTGCTTAATGCCCAGAAGCTAGAAATGATGGTTAGAGAAGTTGTTGGGGAAATCAGTTGATAATTACAATAACCAGCAATGGAAGATGTTATTCTGGAAGTAAAGTGGTGTGGGGAGGGGGGGGGGGGAGGGGAGAGAAAATACTCTATTATATTCAACCTTCACTCAAAGTATATGCTTAGCTATTACAGGATAATGCACCAGAGCTAACCAAGCACAGTGCTGCCTCCAGGTCTCAGCAAGGAAGAAGCTGAAACTTGCTTATCGTTCTTTACTAAGAAAAGCTCCCAGCACTGTTATTATGGAAGTACAGCTCTTAATAACCATTGCACAGTCGTGTTCTGGAACAGTTTGCCCACACAATGTCTCTGCCTCTGTCAGGCAGGCTGCTAAAAGCCTATTTTTATATTTTCAGAATTTATTCTTCAAATCAATTTGGTGCAGAAGCTCAGCTTCAGGGCCTTAATGTTTTTCATAGAATGATAGAATTGTCTGATTTGGAAGGGACCTTGAAAGCCCATCTAGTCTGGTACCCTCCCTGCATTAAGCACAGACATCTTCAGCTACACCAGGTTTCTCAGAGCCTTGCTCAGCCTGGCCTTGAATGTCCCCCAGGATGCAACATCCACAGCTTCTCTGGGCAACCTGTTCCAATGTTTCACCTCTGTCTTCATAAGAAATTTCTTCTTTATATCTAGTCTGAATTTACCCCCTTTTAGTTTACAAACACTCCGTTTGTTCTATCCCAGCAGGCAGCGCTAAAAAGTCTGTTCTCACCTTTTTCATAAGCCCCCTTTAAGTACTGAGAAGCTGCAATGAGGTCTCCCGGAAGCCTTCCCTTCTCCAGGCTGAACAATCAGACTCTGAGTCTTCATAGGAGACATACTCCATATTTGTGGCCCTCCTCTGGACTTGGTCCAACAGGTACTGAGGACCTCAGAGCTGGAGGCATCGCTCCAGGTGGGTTCTCACCAGGGCAGAGCAGAAGGGCAGAATCCCGTTCCTTGCCCTGCTGCCCTCACAGCTTTTGATGCAGCCCAGGACAGGATTTATTTTCTAGACTGCAAGAGCACATTGCTGCTCTCCATCTCTTCATCCCCCAGCCTGCATTGGTACTGGGGTTTGCCCTTATGCAGGCACAGCACCTCACACAATTTTTAACATGGGTGGCCACACTGGGCTTCTAGCTTAAAGCAGGAAAAGACAGAGGAGGAGCAGATGCAAACAAGAATGTAGTCTTGTTCTAATCAGTCAGTCTGTGTGCACACAGGCAGCCAGCCTGTTCAGCCATTTCATTGGGCCTCTTGAAAGCACTGAGGAAGAACTGCACATTGATAGTTTCAAGATGGCACATTAGAAATATTTTAAAATTTTTGGCCCAAAATACCAGGATAATGGGAAGGGAATAGCAAATGGAAATTCTGCTGATAGCCCTAGATGATTTTCACTCAGTGCCTGCATCTCAGGTAGTCTTCATGGGGGCAAAAATTGTCTGAAACAAAGGATTCTCATGAGTTTTGTGGGGGACTTATATTCATGTCACTGCATTGAAGTCATTGGTGTGTGGCATGATTTGCATCCCTCTCACCCCAAATATTCTGAATTTTGGTCTTGCTTTCTTGTTTTGTAAGATACTTCATAGCAAGATTTCATCTTTGAGCTGTAGCTCCTCTCTTCAAACTGCATCATTCAGATCCTCTCTGCTGGAAAACAGATGCACCCTCCCATGCCCAATCTCACACATCAGAACATAAAGAATATATTTATAAGATATTCAACTCTGAAAATTCTTGCATGTAATTTCTGAGGCAGTATCCTTGCTAACACTGGAAGAATCTGTTCCCAATATTGCAGCCCACGTGCTCCTCAGAAAATGTTTCTTTGAGCTGTGTCAAAATTTCAGAAGAGATTTGAAGGAGTCTCATTTCAACTCAGTGGGAAAATCTCATATTGTTTACCTCATTACACCTCGTTGCCTCAAGACTACTATTATTATTCATAGCCCCTCACATTAAAAAATTGCATGTAAACCTCCATGAAGCTCTGAGCTCAGCTTAAAAATCACCAGATATACTCATGGCTGAGCTGTTGAGCTCTTTCACAGTGCAGCCAGGACAGCATTTCAAAGTTTGCTTCACAACCTGAAGGAGTAGAGAATATTCACATTTTCCTAGAGTGCAAATTGAAATTCCTGTTCACAGACTCCAC